AGGACAAATTTTCATCTGTTCCTCAGTTGAGACATAATAAAAATAATTAATATTTTTATTGGTGTTACACTGGAGAAATTTACCTCTGCATTTAACCCATCCCCTTGGGGAGCAGTGGGCTGCCATTGTGCGGCGCCCAGGGAGCAGTGTGGGGTTAAGGGTCTTGCTTAGAGACCCTTGCAACTCTCTCAGAGCACAAGCACACTGCTCTAGTTACTTGGCCAAAACTTCCCTAGACAAATGACTGCTCAGTAGCAAATCAATATAAAAAAAACTAGTTAAAAACAGCAAGATTTGCCAAAAAACCCTTAAATCTAAACCCTTAGAACCCTTAAATCTAAAAATAATGCCTGTTTTTAAAATATTCCTTCATATTTGTGCAGATACACATGATCATCATAAAAAATGTAATTCATGTAGGGAAAATGAAATAAATTATATGAATTTTGTGAAATCTGTAAGGAATGAAAACATATGTAATGGTACCAAGTGCTATAAAATTACTAATAATAATTTGGATCACATCCAGAATTCAGTAAGATCCCCCACAGCTGGTAGAGCTCATGAACTGTGTGGTTTAACTCAGATTAAGGCATTCATAACTTTGTGCCTCACTGATTGTTTTTACAATGTGGGATGGTTTGTCAAACTGTTTCAATTACCAAAAAAAGAAGAGTTAAATTTAAGTTAATAGTTTCAGAACAAAGCAAATAAGATGCACTGATTTGACTGTGCAGACCAATTCCCTAACGGCGTAGACTTATTAAGCATTCCGTTTATATTCAAGGCATAATAATCTATACAACAATAAAGTCAAGCAATTAAAAAAAAAAAAAAATTCTCATTGGATTTACCTAATTTTATGAAGCACAAAATTTTTGACATACATTTTGAAAATGTAAAAGCTTTTATTTACTAAGGAAAATAATGCCTGGATTTCAGAATTAAGAGCNTCTTATTCTTCATGTTCACCGAGTTATACTGAAAAACACACAGAGGATCGAGAAAAGCAAACAGTTACAATAAATGTTGAGAAAGACTATCCTCATAAAAACATAAAACTCAAACAAAGGAAGAGTTGAGGAATGCAAAAACTATTTCCCCTGAGTGGGAAGGCTAGCTTCGTAAATAGCTATTTTTTATTTTGAAGCTTTGGACACTATTAAAAAAGTTTTGCAGTATTGATTTGTGCCACATATGAGGAAAGTAAAACATGGAGATTGAGGGGCAGCGTGAGGCTGTGCCGTCTGATGACAGAAGTGCCAATTTGTACAGCAGACTCCCTGTGGCTGAGAGCTTAAGTAGGAGCATGCTGGGAAATGTCTATAGAGAATTTGTGGAACAGGAGTGAGCAGATCAATATGACACAATGACATGAAGGAAAATGCCTAGACCTTCTAGGAAAGGAGGAACACAAATGCATTAGGACTGAAAACCTGCAGCACCTCCAATTCCCCAACTAAGTTAAAAGCAGCAACTCTATTTCACAGCTTGAACAAAATGTTGTTGTTTTTTTTTTTTCAAAGTTATGGTATCCATACACATGTTCATACCTCCAGGATGAGGTCCCCAGGAAGAAGCCCATCAGGGCCTCTGGCAGGACTGTCCTCATCCACGCTCTCTATGTAGATGCCCCGCAGGTTCCCTCCACAGAGCGTAACTCCTACCTCCACACCAGGCCTGTGGACAGTCACCAGTCGGGGCTCACTCACCCTCCTGTTGCTCTCAGATGGCATTCTAGAGGAAAACATGAGCCGGTTTACCATGATGGAACGATTATTCCCTCTAGAATATTTTGGATCAGTCTTTAGTAGATATTTACCTGACACAACTGTTAGGGCTAGTAGTAGGAGTGGTCTGCTTGGATGAGGGGGTGAGCGTACCCTCGTCCTGCTCACTGAGAGTATCAATAGCAGAGTGGCTGTCAGGAGTCGCAGTTCCGCTCCCCTGGGGTGTCAACTGAGTGCTGACAGGCTCAAGACGGGAGCTGCAGGAAACAAAGAAACGGTTTTGGCTGAATGGAGGAGAACAGGACAAATTTTCATCTGTTCCTCAGTTGAGACATAATAAAAATAATTGATAATAATAACTGAATTTCATTGGTGTCACATTGAAGAAATTTACATCTGCATTTAACCCATCCCCTTGGGGAGCAGTGGGCTGCCATTGTGCGGAGCATTGTGGGGTTAAGGGTCTTGCTCAGAGACCCTTAGTGCAGGCTATGGGGATCGAACCAGGCAATTGCAACCCTCTCAGAGCACAAGCGCACTGCTCTAATCACTAGGCCAACACTTCCCTAGACAAATGACTGTACATGAAGTGCGTGGTTTAACTCACATTTAGGCATTCATGACTTTGTGCCTAAATAATTGCTTTTACAATGTATGATCGTTTTTCAAACTGTTTCATTTACCAAAAAATGAAGAGTTAATGTTTAAGAATTTAAGTTAATAGTTTCAGAACAAATCAAATAAGATGCACTAATTTGACTGTATTGTATTCATACTCATTGTATTTACTGAATTTTATGAAGCACCACATTTTTGACATATCGCATTAATAAACAGGTTATGTTATTTTTTTCCAGTAAAGTTTGTCTAACAATAGATCATTATGACCACAATGACCAATGTAACAGCTTTTATTTTTACGAAGGAAAATAATGCCTGGATTTCAGAATTAAGAGCCCAAACTGGAAGATTTCAAGTTAAGGCAGAATTACCTGGAGCGAGAGTGGTTGCCCAGCTGGTACATATGGGGGTTGTACTGGGCCATGATGGTAATGGTGTCACACTGCTGTCCGATGATGAGACGTGCCTGCTGCTCTGTGGCGTTCCGCAAGTTGATGCCATTGTACTGATGAGAGAGGGGAGCATTTTAGGGAGACATTATGTGGCTAAAAGGACAGTTGGTAGAGAGCTTTGAATGATTGGAACTGCTCTTGAGAGAACAAGCAGTTTTTATTACTATAGCTGTCATTGTTACTCATGAAGACATTCTTTTGTAATACAGAGCATAGAGATGGCAGTTTTCTCAAGTTCCTCACCTTTTTTTTTTGTTTTTTGAACTATACGATATCCAAAAGTACAACATTCAACCCCTACCCTCCTTTTATAACATAATCTGGTTTTACTAAATCTAATTGTGTGAATGCTGCAAATTTGCCGTTTGTCAATATCCATACTTGTGTGTTCTCATGTGCTGGTGAAACCCCACAGCAGTGTTCCAATTCACAAGAACACAAGACAGAGAATGGATACAATCCCCGGATGTTGTTCTCATGCCTCTCTTTTTACCGAGCATACATCAGAGCAGAGTTGTGCGTTATCCATACTGACCGCTGTCCCAGCATGCACCGTGGCAGCAGCAGTTTCCAGGGAAGCTCAGAGTAATAAGTTAAAAGTTCACATTTCTGTTGCTGTTGCTTTAAAAAGTACATTTTAAAGATCATTTGAGGTGAGAAAATTATAAGTTTTAGCTTCACTATATGGCCCATTTACTGATTTAGTAATAAATAATAATAATAATAATAAAAAAAAAGGTTCCCAAGTTGAAAGGACCATGGAAACCAGTGGAGCTGCCTTAAGTTCAGGAAGTAGTGGAGTTGTGCCTAGAGTCCATTAACACAGATTTGTTCTGTGTGCTCCTGTTTACCCAGAGTCCATAGTTTCCTACGTTCTTAGCAATTCCTGTTCTTCTGAATTGAGAAACGGCCCTTTTCTCTATTCTTTACTTCTTCCTACTTCTTATTGTGCGAATGTTGTAAAGCATTCACTCTATTGTGATCCTTTTTCTCTTTAAATTCTTCTTCCTTCTTCCTACTTCTTATTCTGGTCGCTTCTGTACACTTTTTGACTCGCTGCTTCTGCTTACTTTGTGCTATTTCAACCATTAAACATTAACAATATCTGTTCATTCAGGACATTTCATCTCTTGCTACTTATAACTCTTTTACTTTTTGAATTATTCAACTTCTTCTGCTTTTTTTACTCCAACAGAAATGTCCAAAATTCCACTATAACTTCTATTTTGCCATTACTTCCTACTTCCGCATACCTTTAGCTGCAAATACCATACAACTTTCAAAACGTTTCTGCCACCTTATAATTAGTGTTTAACCGAAACAGATACCAGTATCGGACGGGGCCCTAATTCAGCTCTAAAATAGTGGTATCGGCGAGTAGCAACAATTAGGGCATGATACCATTTTGAGAGCCAAAAGTTTATTCAACTATTGTTGGACTGTAAAGTTCTACTGGATTCACTTTGTATTCGTATTTTTCCTGCTTAACAAAGGTAGGCAGCAGCTTGACAAAGCCATGATGGCAATTATTTGACATCCAAGTAGTTTGCAGTTCTTCATATATATTTACACACACACACACACACACACACACATCTCAAACAGACGGTATCGGTCCCGTTTACGATTTCTAAAATCTTCTTCATATTTATGGAAATGCTTTATATAGATTTCTGCTGGCAGTCCTACATGATTGTTTTACGTTTCTGTCCATATTTTACTTTTCCTCAACACTTTAAGCTTTTAATGCAGTTTGTTTCTAAAAACTGTGTCTTCAGCTTATCTACAGACAGGTCATTTTTCATGCATTTTTTTCACAATTTTTTTAAATTTTCTTATGTATCAACAACCTAAGGAAAAGTTATTTCATCAAATCTTTCTCCATATTTTATCCTTCCATGTGTTTCTTACGTCCTTGTGTTTTTAAGTCTCTTTGATTTTCAGTATTACAACAATTATTTTGAACAACTAGTAGCGTTAGGATAACTTCAGCTTGTTAAGTGGCATTAGTTGTGTTTCTATAAGCCTCTCTGTCTGCGCTTCCTCTGCTTTTCACGGTCTGCCTTGCATGTAGGGCTGTTGGCTTTTGATTCTTCTTCAACATTTCAGTCACTATCCTTAAGCCACTAGATTTTTTTTCTTTAATCCAAAAAGATTCCAGTTTCTCCACACTAATTTCTCTGCTGTTTCTTCTAAAAAAATTTTTAGATTGCAGCAGGTTTTATATTGTCAACTTTGTCTATAGTCCTCCATCTTTCAGGGCAGAAATTAAGCTTTTTTAATAATTCATGATATTTCAGCCATGTATCTGTTGGTCATTTCAGATTGCTTCTGCTAGCATTCATGAAAGAAATTAAGCATTTCTGTTTTCTGACATTCCAATCCATTTTTAATTCAATTTCTCTTTCTTTCTGCCATTTTTCCACTTATTGCTTACAGTTTAGCACACAGCGTTCACAATGGATTTTTGCAGGAAATGCAACTTTTTCTAGCTACAAATTAAAATCTAGGTATCAAAACTAAGATTTAAAAATAGATTTTCTTAAATTCTCATGTTCTTTGCAAATAGAGGCATATTTAGAAGTGAAGCCATATAGAACTACTGAATAATTTGCAGAGCTTATATATCATCTTATGAAAAGTATCAATTAAAATAATTTTATGTATCTGAAAAGACACTTTAATTGTTTTTATCCCTGAGATATGGTTGGTTGTTAATACCTCCAGTAACTGGTCTCCGTACTCCAGCCCAGCCTGGTGAGCGATGCTCCCTCCGGTAACTTTTGAGACAAAGATCCCTCCATTCTCCCCGCTGACTATAGAGATGCCCAGAGGCTCTGCCCCCTTGTGCACGATCACGTTGCGTGGTTCCTCCAAGTATGGTCTGATGGGAAAGAGTGATCAGCATTACCATGGAGTTAACACGGACCCACAGCTTGATAACTACCCACCAAAGAAGAGAAGGGAAAGGATGATGGGCTTCTTCAAAGCTGGAATGAATTATTTACTTGCAGCTCTGGGGAGTTACTTTTCAGTCTTTTACTGAAATTAGGCAAATCAAAGAATATCAACAGAAAGCTGAAGTGGAGCTTAAGTAATATTTGAACCCGAGTTTGAGTGAGAGCCTCTTAAGTATGTGCTGGTTTATTTCTGATTTTCAGTCCTGGTCCTTAGATCCCAGTGTCCTGCATGAATTTAGCTCCCCCTTGCGCTCACATATCTGATTTTAACAATCTCCATATCTGTTCAGACTAAGGTCCGTAGACTTTATTTAAATCATGTTTGACTTAAAATCTAGGCCAATGCCTATGCTATAGTGTGTGCCTAAAACCTGTAATAGTCTATGTTTCAACTGTACCACGGAATCGCCGAGACGAGGATTGCATATTGTGTGATAAAAAGTGTGATAAAGTATCATATAAACATACACTAACTATACTTAACAATACAGAGCGGGTTTACATTAAGTGATCGTTGTGTTAAGAGCATGTTTTTGAAAATGGATCGCATGCATGCATTATACGCTATTATCTCAGCTGGGAAATAATTTAACAGTCAGTTAAATAAGACAATGCACATGTATCGGTCACATCATTAAATCAAGCGCCGTGTGTCCCAGGCCCCTGGCATAATTACATGAAGGTAAAATGTCAAAAAATGTCCTCTCCTGAAAATTTGAGCGAGCGAGGAGCGATTTCGCCAGAGCGGCAGGAAAATAAAGGTAAGCGCGGGTCTGATTTTGTCCTGGTGCAACTTTGAGCGGCAGAGCGAAGCAGAGAACATCGACCTGAGCGGGGAGCGGGAATGGCGCGGTGCTCCGCTCCATTCACATGCTCTGTCCATGAGTAAGTCAAAGTTTATCTTGTTCCTGCAAAAATACTTTCAGTTCATCACCAGGACCATCTTGGACTGTTACCATTTAGTAACAGTACTATTTAGATTTTTTTTTTTTAATAATTTTCCTTTCTGATCTCAATTGTGGCAATTTTATTTAATTCTTTTGCTAAAAGCAAATTAAAGAAAACTAAACAATAAAGTGTCAAAATGATGCAGGGCAGTGGGTCTGGTGGACTGATACTTTATACCTGAATTACAGAGCAAAATAGAAGGGTTTAGGTTACACTACATGAATGCAAAGTGAGTAGTTAGAAGGGAGAGGAAAAGGGAAATGCTCGCATTTAGAGCAGACGAGCATGAACTTTGAGTCTTCACAATAAAGTAGGCTTTAACATGTCTTCCAAATTCATAAACACAGATAAGAGGAAATGGACTGCAGCCAGAGACTGGGGTAAACAAGAGTGCTGGTGTATGGACAGGAATATGACCCAGAAGCTGGATGTTGAATAATACATTGCATAACATACATACTGCAGACTGAAGGGTGATTTGGCCTAAGGCAAAGATGCACACATGCATACAGCATTATTGGTACATGCACTGAGATTCAAGTGGGTCCTTGGACATGGGGGGGGTTGATGTGCAAGCACAAAAATAACATCAAACCTTTGAAGTTCACCAAGTGTAGCTAATTGGAGTTTCTACGTTTTCCTAAGGCACAAGTCTTACTGTTGCATGCAAAGAAATAAATCTCAAAATTAAACAGCCCTCCCTGGGGCTGAGTGGAAAAACTTAACAAAACCTCTTTTTATATTCAACAAAGTCAAGTAGACAGCAAACGAGTGTTCTGCTCCTCCAGGATATCCACTATACTTTCACCATCTTATCTGGTATAAAACATTTGGAACACTGGACTGGTGGGGCAGGGAAGGGAAAGAGTGGAGGCATTCCCTGGTTTGCAGGGTGATGAGGGATGACAAACCTGAGGCTCCTGAGAGAGGAGAACCTCGGCCTTGCAGCCAGAGGAATCCTTAGAAAAGATCGATTACGATAAAGAGATCTGGAGGGACGGGGTTGCAAAGAGGTAGGAGGAAGATAAAGAAAAGTTTGGGGAGAGACAGATACATAAAGACAGAGAGAGTCAAAGCCAGATACATGCTGTCAGTACAACATGGGACAAGAATGTTGGAGGAATGAATCAATTAATTCCTCTAAAGTTAGTCAACAACAGATCACACAGTGTGTTATGATAGTCCTGTTGCCAGACAACCAGATGAGCTCATTTTTCAGAGCTGATGTATAAAATGTCAGACATTATATCTCAAACTACTAATCACTGGCCGTTTCTCAATATGTGTACTTGTGCGTTCTCATGTGCTTGTGACACGTCATCAGCCTCAGCCCTAGTGCTGTTCCAATTCACAAGAACAGCAGACCGAGAACAGACAAAGTCCCTGGATGTTGTTCTCGCCCCTCCTTATTTACAGAGTTTGCATCAGAGCAGACTTGTCCGTTTGTGAGATTGACAGCTGTCCCAGTATGCACTGCGGCAGCAGCAGCTTTCAATGGAGCGCTCACAGAGCTCAGAGTATTAAGTTAAAAGTTATAGTTTCTGTTGCCGTTGTTCAATAAAAGTAAGTTTTAAGATAATTTGTGGTGAGAACATTATACTTTTAAGAGTCACTATATGGCCCATTTACCGATTTACTGCGTAATTAAAAAAACAAAACATTTCTGAAGTTGAGAGGACCGTGGCAACCAGCCGACTGATGGCGAGTTTTTTGTTGAATATGGCAAAATTTTCATTGGATTTGTGTTTATCTGACTGTGTTAATTATTTTTCTCCCAATAAATGAAAAAAGTAAGAATTTATCATTATCTAGAGACTATTAATAACAGGAGGTGAAATGCAGCTCCAGACTAGCTGAGCATGTGGTGACATCCCAAGTACGCTTCTGTTCCAATTAACCAAGATTTTTGCTGTGTGCAAGTCCATACTTTCCTGTGTTCTTCTAAAGAACATACTTGGCGCGGACACGAGTCTGTACTCGCGTAATTGTGAATTGAGAAACGGCCACTGTTCAGATTACAGCTTTTTCTACATCTTTTAAAAGCCAAGTCAGACAATCTAGACAGAAACACTTCTAACACTTAAAACAGCGTTTATAAAGCGATTTAACCATCTGCTTACAAACTCCTTAAAATTAGCTCCATTATCTATTAATATAGATACCTGTCTTTTCTGCGCTCTCCTATTGGCACAGGGCTCACTGAGATGCGAGGTAATGTGGAAATGGAGCCTTGAGATTGGCTGCTGACAAATGAGGATGTCTCAAGATTCAGTGGCGATTGTGGTGGGGTGATGAGACTTGGACTGCTACACTCAGAGTGCGACAGAGACCCTGGATTTATTGAAAGAGGAGCAGAAAGGGAGACATTAAGTGTGCATTAGTTTGTGACACAGGGATTCATAAAAGATCAAAGACATTTTTAAAAGTGTAATTTTGCTGCTTTTAATCGCACAGTATGAATAATCCTGGATATCCTGTTTTTTTCTTCGAGGATCATCATGTGAGATGTTACCATCATGTGGTTCTCCAGGCCAACTCTGTTATTTAGCCACAGTTGAACTATAATAACCCCGGTTACTGTCTCTTCAAATCGTTTTTAATATATATATATTTTTAAATGTAATAATTTTTCTTTCCCACAGTGTTAAGCTCACCTCTGTCTGAGCCCAGCATAGAGCGCGGGTAACGGGGAGTCGAGGGGATTTTGATCCTTTCTGTGCGGTACTGAACATTACTGGAAGAACCTGAAGAAAATAATATGTAGAAATGAAAACCTTGTTCTAAAAGAAAAAGCCAAAAGGTGTTGGAAACCCTTCGCTTGTGTTTGCGTGCGTGCTTGGGTGTCAGACTGACCGAGTCGTGTGCCGGAGGGCAGTGAATTTGTACCGTGTGATGCTCTGCTGCTGCGTGATGAGGCCGTTTCAGAGTAATCACTGGTGCGCTTCTGCTGGCTCAGGTCCAGGCTCAGGCGACCCTGGTGCTGGGGGCTGCCAACACACACAAAGTTAGAGCTGTGCACAAAACATGCCTACAAAAGCTGCATGTTTAATTTAAATAATTAAATGAATCAATGGGCTAAGGTACAAAAGAAAAGCACAACACTGAGACACAATGCAACATTTAATTAGCCGTGTGTGCCTTCGGGATTGGAATAATTTAGTGTTACTTGTTGTTATAACAGGCCCATCAGGAACAGAATATTACATAAGATGTATGATAAAACCTCAATGCAAACTTCAGAGGGTAGTGTGCCTTACAAAAGTGGACGATAACTTTAACTCTGGGTACAGCTAGACGAGTGATCTACTATAAATAGGAAAGAAATGGAAGGACAAACTGGTATGTGCCACGCAGATAAACAGAACAATTTCTAAGTTATACAGCATTAAAACATATAAACATAAAATTTTAAAAGAGAAATATGTTAGTAAACTGCAACGAATAAAAAATTTGTAGCATTTTTCATCATAGAGGTCAACAATATTCATATCAATTGACATTAATCATCACATAAGATGTTGGGGGTTTATAATGAATACATGAAAGAACAGTGGGCTTTGGTCTGAGCCTTGTGGGAAACATATTGGATTTTATTTCTGCTTAACTAATCCCAACTACAGAGGAATAATAATGATTAAAATTCTAGATTTGACGGAGAAATAAAAAAATACATGTGGTTGATCAAAGCTAACCTGGTGTGGGTGTGCTGGTGACAAATCTGAGATGCTACAGATGGACAGTTGCTAGTATGAACGCGGTGACTGCGCACAGTATATACAGGATTCCTCATCACAGCTGTCACAGCGGGACAAGGAGACAGTCCGCGATGGGCTGAATCTGGTTAAACAGACAGGCCAGCATGTTAGAGAAAGTGGAATATCATTGATCTGCTCATTTTTAAGCGGGCGTTGCTAGAGCAGCTTACTGGGGGGTAGGGATCCGTTGTAGACAGCCGGGACCAAGCCGACACTGTGGCGATTTGAGGGGCTGGGGGAGGAGTGGAGCACGTCCCTGGAGTCTGGTGAATGATCATCGTTGGAATAGCTCTGTGAAAAATCACAGACAAACAGCATTTTTAGGAAAGCATTTCTGAATCCTTTTTTTTATGGAAAAGTCTCATAATAAGAAAACTGGCAGCAAGCAGAGCCCACAAAATGAAATGAATGGATTGTGTTTAGGGGTCTGGAGATGTAACTGGCCGAGTGGCTTAAACTCCCCAGCTCTGACTCAGCTCCTGGGCTGGGTATCTATACCAGCATTCTGGTATTAATCACTCAAGAAAGCAGACCAAAACCCTCTTAGGCTTAAATTTGACTAAATGGATACTACCTGACAAATAAAATTGTGCTGATTTTGGTTTTTTCCAAACCTAACATATTAACAATATATACAGGAAACCTTCAATCTAAAGGAACTTCAGATTAACGAGGAAAAGGTTAAATGCTCCACCTGTCCAGAACCTTTCAAAAGTCTTCATATGTCTAGATCTTTTCTATCTCATATTTTATTTCTTGATTTTGATCAATACAAAGTAAATGAAAAGAAAAAATATTAGCCTGAGTTTATGCCCTTTTTTAAATATTTAGCTCGGTTACAGCTTCTAGTCCTTGAAGGTTTTTTTTTAGATTTGGACATATAAAGAAAGGCATTCTTATTTGTTATCTGCAAAATAACTTTATCTAAGTTAGATAGAGATCACCAAAACATCCATTTATGTTTTAGGTTCTTATGTAAGTTTATGTTTGGACATAGACTTGCTATTCTAAAACATAGAGGTACGTTTATGTATGTCACTCTGCTGTAGTTCTGGCTGTATGTTACGAGTCAGTGTCCTACTAGGAACTGGATCTTCATCCCATTCACAAGTGTTTGCAAAGCATTGCGAAGTCTTTCATTTTAAGCACAGATCTTCTTCAGATGTGAGAGTTGGATTCTAAAACATCTCGAAAAATCACATCACGTGATTAAGTAATTAACTTACATTTTATTGTATTTTTAGAGACCGGGTAAGATGGAAAATTAACAGTTGTAACCTGCTAATGTTTTTACAGTACTGCTACATCCACATGGACAGGCGTACACACAAGTCAGTTATTCATTTTTAATAAACTCCATATTCATGTTAAATCTACTGACCTGATAAATGGGATGAGTAATGGTCTTTGGGGTCCGACGTCGCAGAGCCGGGGCAGATTTCGGCCGAGGCCTCTTCACTTCTGGCTCCTCCCCTCTGGTACGGCCAATGTCCTCATCACATGACTTTCTGGAAGTCAGGACCTTTCCTTCAAGAAAGTAGTGGTTTCCGTTCCTGTCTCTTTCTCGTTCATTTCTTTCTCTGCCCTCTCCTGCTGCCATGGAGATGGAGGCCTCCCCTTTGCCATCAGAGGTTATGGTGCAGTCTGAGGCGGAGCTGCTCTGATGTTTGTGTTTGAATTTAAAAGAGTCACTGCGGGTGGGAGGTGTAGGAGGGGTTGGGGTAGGGGTAGAAGAGGATGAGAGGGACTCTGTCTTTGAAGACTGTGGGGAGTGCGAAGATACAGCTGACATCTGATTGGCTGTCAAGTACTCCAGCTTGGAGGAGGGAGTTTCGGGGCGTTTGAAAGTGTCTGGGTCAAATATGGACTTCCTCTGCTTGGGAGATTTATAGATGGAGAGCTGGGCAGCTGCTGTGATTGGACCTGAACTGTCTGGAACTACCGACATACCGCCAACCATCATCTTGGGCCACGTCCCGCCACTGTGCTTCTTCTCCAGGGCAGTCTCCATATTGATGCATTCAGAGTGAGAAATTGGCTCGAACGGTAAGGAGGAAGGTCCCTTTGTATACGAGCAGCACTCTTGAAATGCACTGGGTCCATATCGGCCCGTTCCCAGGTCTGCCAGTGGGCGCAGACTAGTAGCATGCAGGGAAACTGAGGAGAATGGTTTGCTCACATCCCCGTACATCTCGTCATCCCCCCTGAGCTTCCTCCTGTCCCCAGAGATGCTGCTAGAGCTAGCACTTCCAACATCAGGACAAAAGATGTCAGTCTGTGTCGAGCTGTTGTGTTTCAGGTTGCGACTGTTTCTGGAGTGTATCTCAGACAGAAGCATGCGTCCATTGGTCTTCTCTGAAGAATCACGCAGACTCTCGAAAATGTTCTGACCTGATGTGCTGTGAGGGAAAAACTATGGGAAAACAAATAAGTCAAAAAATATGATAAAAGCTTAAAAGAATTATGAAAAAGACAACTAGTAGATGCATCATATTTCAGTTGGTATTTGGGGCATGCTGAGAAACTTCTGGTTTCAATGAGAAAAAGGAGATCAGAGTTAGAAAAGAGAACTGGCTCACCTTCATAAGGGAGAGGCTCAGCGAGTCCCTGCAGCTCCGCAACAGAGCCTCACACTCCGTCACAGATTTGTTATCAAGAGCGATCCCATTAATCTACACAGACACACAATGAAAATAAGGACAGGTCACTTTAACCTGAAGACAAACTTCTTAAATCATTCTGGGGTGTAAGGATACGTCTCTCATACCAATAATCCCAATAAGGTTTTAAAAACTACTTTCAGGTGAGAGTGTCTGTAGTTTTCAGTTTTAACAGGAAAACAAAAGAGATCTAGGTCAGTCTATTTTGGTGCTCTGCACTTTGAAACAGATTTCCACCATAAAAGATTCAACTACAGTGCTCTTTGAAACAGAGAAAGTCTAATGTTTGTATGCATGCAGTAGAGAGTGCTACCGACCCAGCTGGGAGATTCATAGCAAATTAACCCTGAGCAAAAAATACAGATTTATTAAACTTTTTTTCTGTAGAAAAAGATTCAACTCATCATCTAAATCAGTTTATTTTAAGAGATTAAAAGAGGGGAATAGACTTATGTTTACTTTACTCAATTGAATCTCCCCTTATCAGGGTTTGGTATTTAGGTTGTGGATTAGATCAAGTTTGGAATTATTAAGGTGAGGAAACCTGTGTCAATTCCAAACCAAGAAATGTTGAAATAAAAAAAAATAAATAAATAAATAAAAAACAGGTAATATCAGGATGTTTTTAGATTACTCACAGCAATAAGTCTGTCTCCAGCTGTTAGCGAGCCCTCCCTGGCTGCAGGACTTCCCTGGGCAATGGCAGTGACAAAGACCCCACTTTCCAGACCAATACCACTGTCTGAAACACAGGAGATTGAAGGATAAGTGACACAGGTGGATAGAAAGTACACTAATACAGGCAGAACATCAGAGTTTGGAAAAAGACCTTGGGATCTGTACCACCATAAAATAAAAAGGAATTATCTTGCAGCAGAATAATGTTACCTCAACAGTTCAGACACAACATAAACCTCCCCAACTCAATCTCAGTATTAAGATATAAAGATTGAAGGACAAAAAGAAACGAGTATAAGAGAACCTTGGACTGGATGAGCCGGATGGATCTGACCATCAGGGAAATATCTCTCTCTGTCTGCTTCTACCTTGAAAATACAATTATTCCTCTCAGTCACTTTGATCCCACTGAAGAAAACAACACAAGTTTAACTGCTGAATTCTTCCTTCCAAGATTAGTTTACATGAAAACAGGTCAAAGGGGAAAAGATGAGGAGGATTAAATCCCTTTCGGGAGGTGTGAGAGCACTTGTGTGTTGTCGGGTCAGCTCACAACTCCCACTCTGGTCAGCAAAATCCAATCCAGCAGGCGATGTCACACTAACATTTCAATGCTGTAGCTCTTGTAGGGACCAATCTTAATAAAATCAAGGCTCTATTAACGTCGCTTTTATGTATAAGTCTTATTAAAGCTAGTATGTTCTCCTTTCGATCCACATAATTCATGTAGGTTACCAATTTGGGTTTTAAAACAGCAAGTTTTGATTAAATGTGATTAATCGTATGTCCAATAATGAGTGTAATATACCTTTATGTCCCATGAGGTTGATGTGAACAGGAGTGACCAGCCTTCCTCCCAGAGACTTCCTTCTTCGTACCACCATGTTGATCAGTCCGCCTCCATTAAGGACAGCTTTCACCACCTGTTTTCTGTCCTTATTGCTCAAGTCGATGTCATTTATCTTTAACAACCAATCGTTCACTCTGGAGTCAAAAAAAAAAAAGAGAAAATTATCAATTCAAAAGACTTTTATCTATTTATTGATGTATTAATGAAGTATTAATGAAGTTTTGTACCTTAACCTTCCATCAGCAACACTTCCTTTATCCACCCTAGTAACAAATATTCCACAGTCTCCAGGTAAATAAGGATCATTTACCCCCTCAGCAATGTCAAACCCCAGAGCCTTCAAATCCATATCCTCCTATTAAAGCAATGATAAAAGTAGTCAGTCAACTTATTTCTCTTTAGCTCCTGTTTGTTGTTGTCTTTTCAGGGCCGTCTTTAGACGAACCATCCCAGGCATCGCAGTCTTACCCGGTCTTTCTCAAACTCCACCACCTCTGTCTCCCATTCTAGGGAATCTGTGTCAATTGCAGAGTCATGAGAGCTATGTGCCATTAGCTGACAGAACCGGGCCTCCTTCTCCAGCTGACTCTCCATCTTTTCCCTGAACACAGAACAGCAGGGTCAAATGTCACTCACCAACATTCAATTAACCATTTTCCAACAAATCAGTGCTTTCTCAGTAAACATACCCTTTTCCAGAAATATATACTTTGAACTCAAACTCTGTGAACTTACAAACTTCTGTTTGTTTTTTTCTTTTAACAAATCAAATCAGAAAAATCTGAAAACATGAGGATTTTTTGCTGTTTGCGTGTTTTAGAGTTTGTTTTGCAGCTTGTTTCGTCGTTTACTGCGCATCTGCACCTGTTGGCCACCATAGTACATAATGTTAAAAATGTAACAACATTGACAGCTATAAATACTTTTGTGAGGTGCTGCAGTGCATATCACATTGTTTAAGTACACAGTTTAAACTTGATACAACTGGTTTCAGAGTTCGTCTTAAACCATAATAAGGCCTTTATTTAGGAAAAAGATTTTCTGATTTGTGTACTGCAGAAAAGAAATCATATTTAAAGGAGAAAAAAAAAATAGAGTGCACTTGTCAGCAAGATGTATGAGGTCCTTAAGAGGCCTGCCTGTAGGGTTGCAATGACATTCAAAGCCCAAAGGTACCTTTAAAGAGGATGCAGAGAGAATGTTCCTGCATAGGAACTACATAGAATTACATAAAAGAGAATTCACTTGTTCTCAGAGTAAAATCTAAAAAAGGACAGCTGACAACTTATAGTTGAGTTATAGATTAAACTTTTTGAAAAGCCTAAATTCAAGCCTTAAAAGTCTAAACTCTAAGAAATAACTGCATTACATGCTCTCACCAGCAGAGGGAGCCTTTACATGCAGTATTGAATTGTACATAATCAGAGAATTAGAGACAGTGTGAGTTAGAATGTTTACATGTGCTCAAAACACTAATACTTTCCGGGATGAAATTTTAATCTCCTTAAATGAAAGTCCTGCCAAAAATATCAGGACATTCATTTAAAGCTTCATGATGGCTCAGTGCAAAAGGAGGGAACTGGAAAGAGGCGGAAATGCAGTTTGGAGGTAAAACCCATGTTCTGTGGGCTGGAAGCAGAGATGCATGTCAAACTCAAGAGCAGACTCACTTTAGTTCTTTGAGCTCTCGCAATGCATCGTTCTTCTGCTTCCTCATGTCGTCCAAGTTACGCAGGGCGTCGGCCAAATCGCTGACGGCCCGGTCCCGTTCTCGCCGCAAGTTGTCACACAGAGTTCTGTGTGGAGGAAGAACAGATGGGGGCAGGATGTGAAGAGAAGTGTGTATTAAAAATTGATTAAAGGTTTGAAAATACACACACGTACTGGAACCAGTCCCCCCTGGTTCCTGTTAGCCACCACAAAGTAATACATTCTTGGGAAAATGGCCTTAAACGGTTCCCACAAGGTAACAAACACACGGACACACGCTGACCTTATGCTCTCCCTCTCTGCGACAATTTTATCCCTCTCTTGGAAGGCCCAGTCCCTTCGACATTTGGCCACCTCTGCTTCCTGTGTGGCCTCCTTCAGTTCCTGGGACATGGCTTCATACTGCTTCCTCAGCATCTCAATCTCCTTATTTGCCCGTTCCATGTCCAGGGTAGCAGAGTCTTGTTTCTAGAAATATATTAAATATGTTGAGGTTTTTATTAAATAACTAATATAAGTTTGTATGCATATATATGTATAGAATATTAGTTAAAATATATAAAAAAAATAAAATAAAAAAAAACATAGGCAAGAGTTGTTAAATTCTATTTTTTTTTTAAATAAAAGCTTAAAAATCTATATTTTAAGCCAAGTCAAGATGGAAGCAAACAAATAAAAACAAACCAATTCTTTTAATGATAAATTAAATATTTATAGGCAATGGCTAAATGCCACCTTTTTGAATATGAGTTTTATCTAGATTATGCTGGGTTTCATGCTAGTGATTTAGGGAATGCTCCCTGTAATCCTTGTGATGCAATGCCTCCTACCTCAGGTTAACTTAGTGAAGTGTTAATCATAGCTCATGACAGAGATTACAGATGAGACAGGCAACATAGCAGATCATAAAAACCAAAAAAAAAAAAGAAATGGAAAAATAATCAAATGTCTTTAAGAGACGTGAGAGTGACAAACAGATTGATTACCTGTCTGGCCTGATAGTATTCTCTGAGTAGCTGATCCCTCTGAATGATGGCCTCAGTCCTCTCCTTGCGAGCCACATCCCTCTCCTCTCGGACCATCTCGATGTCCTTACAGGCCTGGCTCAGCTCCTTCTGGGCCTCTGCTTTGTCCTTCACTTCATGGCAGTACTTCTCCAGCAGCTCGTTCCTCTCACAGATGGCCCTGTCCCGGTCCACCAGGGAAGAGTTTAACTCCTGTTTGAAAAAAGGCCTTCAAAGTCAAGCAACCGTTCCTGCTGAATCATGCGACAAGAATGCTAATACAGCCTAAAAAAAACGTGAACATAATATCTGCACAGCAGAAGCTTTTAGAGTTATGTCTGATGTTGAGGTCCAGCCCTTTCAGGAGAAGGCCTATTCATTTGATTCCTGAAAAAGAAGCTAGCAATCTATTCTATCTCATTTTGAAAGTCTAGCAGTTAGCACATGGCCATTAAGAATATTTTCTTCATAGTTGATAGTCATCTGAATAATAACTAATAATTAATAATGTGATCACAGCTTGTAAAATACATCACCTAAATATTAAATATTGTAGAATGAATAAAGAAATAACAGAAACAGCATTTACATTGAATGCAGCAATCATATGCTCCAACATTAAAGCATTAAATAAACACCAGCATAATGCACTCAGACCTTAATCCTATTCATACAACCAGCTATATCTTATTATAAACTAACTTAAAATTTCAACTTGCAGGATTGTTTTCAGAGGAACTGAGACAAATATATGAAGAAACGTGACTTTAGTCAAACCCATCTCCCTTTCCTCCCTTCCTGTCATCCAAGAAGCTGCAATTAGGCCCAAGGAGAAACTATTGCACTAAGCATTTTTATAATTATGAATTCCCACCAAGGCTACTGTCATTTTTTATGGGCCGTAAAATTTGCAGAAAAGAATAACTTTAGGCTTTACCAGGGATTTTGAAAACTGTGTTAGAAGAAATGACTCAGTAAAACAATCATTTATATGTTTCAGTGAACACAGCCTGAAGCAGGATTCATCAAAATGGAACAAATAAACCACTGTCAGTGGCCACTTTTTTTTAAGCCCAGCTTTCTAAATTAGCTGTACAGTGTAACTTACCTATGCATTTGTTTTTATGTGGCTTCTACCCCTCCGTACCTCTAATGACTGTGTCATTTTTCATTTTGTTGCCCTGTTATAGAACCAGCAGTGCAACACAGCATGTGGTAATCTAAATATAGCGCACCCCTTTCCTTGTAATTTTTTTGCTCTCATGATAATTATAGGACACCACAGTTAAAATGTCTCCTAATCAGAGCTTAGTTTATTCTTAATTGGAGATGCAGCAATCAGGGTTTTACTAGCCAGTAAACATCTGTAATTCCCCTTAAATGTCTGATCTTGAGGTTATGATTTTAACGGATTTCTTTTAGAACTGTAATACCAACTTACTTGTGTTTACTGTTTTAATCCAAAAAAAAAGAAAAAAATCAAGAGTTGGCAATATAAAGAATGTTTAAAAAAAAAAAAAGGTTGGTCAGGCTTTTAATGAGCTTGAATCCAAGAGAAAATTGAAGTATTTTAAAATAATGGCCATGCCCCTAACGTTTATTTGACTTCTAATAAACTTTAGTAAAAGAACTGAACGATGCATTTATAGCAGAAAAAAAAGAACACCGACATATTTTCTGCCCATCTTTGTTTAGAGTCCATCAATTAAAGTCTGATTCTGACCACTGGCTGACTGATGCATCATCCTCTAACTGCTCATGTCATGCAGTTCTGTGTGTAATCTGCTTCACAGCAGACATGCAGCCTAAAAATCAGTGCTCAGTCAGGCAGTGAGATGGAAAAGAGCAGGAAGGACTGTTTACATAACAGCATTTTACCACTACATTTAAACCTGTGGGTAAAAGAGACAAAAATAACTTCAAAGTAAAGTGCAGACTGGGTCTGCATTTCATTTTTTGATAAAGCACCTGCTCACAGAGCACAACCCTCCAAAACATGATTGATGTTATAACCTCAACTGTTTGCAAAAAACTCTCCTAAAGAGATCTTTGGTGGGATATTTTTAAATAACAATAATTGTACAATGATTCTAATGCTACAGATACAGGTTGATTTATAGAAAAATATATAAAATCAAATAATCTAAAAAGGATTTGGTGTCAGGATTACTAGTGTATTCCTGCAGAGCAGCAGAAATACACTATACACAGCATCAACGTGGCGTAACATAGAAACCTGAGATTGTGAGTTCGAAACCCACTCCCACAGACTGCCACTTTGGCTCTCTGAGCAAGACCCTCATCCTCTGCTCCCAAAGGGGATGGGTTAAATGCAGAGGTACATTTCTCCAATGTGAGATCAATAAAGTTAATTCATAATTATTATAACCAACTAAACACTATGACACCTGCAGTGTAATAAAATGACAACTCTTTTTAATAGAAAACATCCTTTATGTTTCCAAAAGGATAGTTAAACTTTATATGTAGCATTTTTAATGCCTCAACCAGCTTTGCATATCTATCATGTCTGTTATCAGTGTTTTGCTTGTAGGCTAAAAAGTTCAGGCCTCATTTAGTCACCTTTACTTTATTTGACATATTTCCTGTTTCCAATTTTTACCCATGTATTGGCAGGCCAAACCTTTCTTTTCCAGATTCATTATTGAACAGAGCTCCATGATTTGTTTAAAGCAATGAATGTTTCAGACTTCTGCAACTCTGCTTCAAAGTTTTCTGCCACTTTATCCCTGACCTGCCAGCTGTGCTCCTTGGTATTTATGAGACGGTTTAACAAACCTCTGTGGCCTTTAAAGAACATCTGGATTTGTACTGACTTAACTGGACTCTTATTTAACTTTCACTGGATTTTTAAAAGGATAGGATTTTTGTTTTTAAAAGAAAACAGCATCACCTTATTCGTAATGATTCAGTACTGTTTGTAGTTATAACATAGGCTGGGGCAAAGAAATCAGTTCCATTAACAGTTCAAATTTTTCTTGCAGGTGATTTAAAAAAAATAAATGAATACATTTTTTTGTATAACATCGCAATTTTGGCTCCCCGGAGCTTCCGTAGCTGGAGTATTACTTCCACGGTACAGTTCGGTGAGCAGCATCATGGCTACGGGTGAGAGTATGAAGTTAGTCCTGAAAAAAGGAATAAAATCATCTGTTGTTTGCAGCTGGTTTGGGTTTACTGCGACAGACGTGGAGCAAGAAACCCCACGCTGCAACATTAGTCTAAAGTCAGTCGCAGTTAAGGCAGCAGCACCACAAACATTTTTCAGCATCTTAAACAGAGGCTTTCAGCAGAATATGACAAATGCCAGTCTCTCCAGGAAGAACAACACCGAACAAACCAATAAACCTCAGCAAGAAGCCTAGGCTGGAAGGTGATGAAATAAAACATACTAAACAACCAGAAATGTTTGCGGAAGCTAGGCTAATTAGCAAGATGGTTAGCATTAGCTATAAGGATGGGACTTTTCTGGTGGTAAAAAACTGACTTTATGTGCCTATTTTCTCAACATGGAATGTTTTTATTACTAATATGCTGGGTTACTTTTATACCTGTAGACCCTTACAGACAAATGGAATATAAACAATCTAACATTGGATTCATTATACGACCTTCAAAGGTAGGAACTCGAAGCTTTATTATAAAAATTCAGATTTAATATGCTTCTATATCTTAATTGTGCTTTGGTGCTCATGGTGTCTATAACATAAACTTGGGGGTTGAATTGTGGAGAATCTACACTGTCTAATGATGTATAACAAGTCTATATTGTTAAAAGTTCAACAGGAGTTATTTTCAAGCATATTGCTGTGTTTTATGTAAATATGCACAATGGAGAACCGGCGATCAGGTGGATGTTAAGACGTTTTAATAAGTAGGGGGGAAAATTCGGGAAAAAAAAAAAAAACCGAAATCCAAATAAAAAAAAGAAAAAAAAAAAAACAATTTCTTTTAGGCCATATCGCCCAGCCCTACTATAATATCAATGACTGTGTAAAGTTTAGTGACCTTAACTATGAAATTAGTTTTGTGTTGAAACCAAAATGTATATATTACAGCATCATCGTCCAGAGAAATAACCTCATAGCATAAAGCTCATTCTATTAAGGTGGCTGGAAATGTATGGTTAAACTGCACAAATTCAGTGCATGTTAGTCTCATACCTGTCTGAGTGCTTCTAACTCTTCACTAGCCACCACCCGCTCTGAGGAAGTGTTCTTCAGTCGTGCTTCAGCTGCCTCCAATTCGGTCTGCAGCTTATCCAGCTCTTTGATCACCTGGTCCCTCTCGCTCATGATGAGACGGTACTCATTAAAGACAGAGTCCCTCTCCTCCTTGTACTTCTCACAGTCCTTGGCTGCCTTCAGCTGCAGGTTTTTGTAGCGTGTAACCTCTGACTGCAGTCGCTCCATCTCCCTCTGCAGCTCCTTGTTCTGAGCCGAGGACTTGTTCAGCTCCTGCTGCACTGAATCAAACCTGAGGAACAAAAGGATCAGTTAAAATCCAGGTGTCAGAAATACTCCACTGCTAATAAAAAGCTGGAAGCAGACTTGCAGCAGGTTGTTTAAGAGTTTCATCACCAACTCCTATGACTTTTTGTCTAAATCATAGGCATCATACCAGTTTGAGAATATATGCGAATGCATTTACCTCCTCATTGATGTGGAGAACTGCTGCTGGTAGTGCATGGCTGAGTCTCGCTGCTTTAACAATGCATCCATCTGTTTTTGCAGCCTGCGGTTCTCCTCCTCTGCCTGCTCCAGGCGACTTAGATCCGTGTTGTGATTGGCCACCTTCTCGCCGAAGCGCTTGCTAAGGGCGTCGTAGTCCTTCTTTACACCCTCCAGTTTGTCCATTGCTGTGTCGTAAAGCTTATTCAACACCTCTGATGAGCCTTTCTCCCTCATCACCTGGTTTGTGCAACACATGTAAAACGATAACCTATCATTGTCATGTTGCTGTGCACCATTTTAGCAGCAGATGGCATTAATGTGCAGAGAGATTAATATTTTTACAATAAAAAAATCTTTTTTTTACAAAGTTAGAAAACTTAGACTAAAACCTGACGAGATGATAAATAACAGTTTACCTATAGAATGTATCCTTCAAACTATTAATTCATTCTCAGTAACACTCACCCTCTTTCTCCTGACAGTCTTGCTGATTTAGTTTTCCTGATTCCTGTGAGAGTCGCTGCGACCTGAGGGCTGGATTGACCTCTGCTATATAACATATACTGTGATCTTGTAGCTACATGGTTTAGGTCAGAATGCCCTTTGCCAAAGCCTAGCCCTTTTCTTCTGTGTTTGCCCTTTTCACAAATGCTCTGTATGCATCTCCCTCCTCTTTCCTTCCCTGTGTTTGGAGGGTCCCCATGGGTGCTGTGTAAGGGAACTTGCAGTGATACAATAAGGGTCACAATTCCCTTAGAACAAATTGTTTGCGGCATAAAATGTTAAAGGCAAACTTTTTATACTGTTTAAAGTAAAAAAGTGAAATCAAAACTAGAAGCAAACAAGACCTAATGTGAATGTGATTTAAATGTGTCATATGCTTAAAACAATATCCAAACATCCTCATAGGACTCATAGGAGTCATGTATTGATACCTCCTGCTGCTGCTGCCGAAGGTCTGACAGCTCCTGTTGGTCTTGACTGTGCAGCCGTTTTAGCTCCTCGCAGTTCTGTTTCAGGTGGTTGTGCTCTCGGACAAGTTGGGCGTTATCCCTCCTGACTGTTTCCATCTCCTCCTTCAGTTGTGTCTGGTCGCCCAGGACACGACTGTGCAGCATGCTAAGGTTGGAAAGTAAATCCAAACTTTAGTTGGAATTACAATAAATAAACAGCTTTAGGGACAGATTTTAAGATTTTCAAAATATAAGAATAAACTAATAACCCAAATATTTCATCCTGCTTTTTAAAGGTTTGAAGATCTTTTTGAGGAATGGAGATCAGCTTACTGGTAGAAGTCCGCTTCCTTCACAGCCTCCTCACACCTCTTTAGTGTTTTGGTATGCTGGTTCTGGAGAGATTGCAGATCTGCCATGGCCCTCATGCACTGACTTTTCAGCCGTTCATAGTCATGGCTGGCTTTGGGATTTGGCCTTTAAAAGAGAAGGAGCAAATAGTCAAAATTCTACCTCTCTGCACAGTTTGATTAATCTATTCAAAAGCCATGAAAAGACTTATATTCTCATTGTTTAGAGGGATTTAATATGAACAGGAAATGTAAGCAATTATTTTCTCTCTAGTGTGATGACTAAGTGCACATCTGGCTCAAGTTTGTAGAGTCAATATTATTCCAAAGAGCAGGAATTAGTAGATGAAAAGAGGGGAGAAGGAATCAGCTCCACATTAATCCCAATGAATTTATGTTCCTAGATACATAAACAACAAGGATCAGGCTATGCTATCATGAGTGTGTGGGCAGAAATATAAGCTAAATGGCCGCAACAACCGCAGCTCTTTGCAGATTGGTACCTGCAGTCATCGAAGGTGGTCCCAGGCGATGCCAACGCCAGACGCTTCCGAAGCTCATCTCGCTCCCTGGTCACCTGGCGGAGCTGCAAGAGGATGGTGTCCAGGTTTTCACTGGCATGTCGGTTGTCGTTAACGGCTGGGGGAGGGGAGGATGTTTCACCATTTACAGGCGAACCTGCAACAATAAACCATTACCAGAGAATTATTACATACTGCACAACACTTTACCAACTTACTATAGTTGATTAATCACTGGAGGAAAACCCCGAATAAAGGAATAATTTCAAGAAATGTATCACTTAGTTCATGGCCTTATTTCTACTGAATCGACCTGCTTGATTTAAGACTTCTAAAAACTAGAAACATCATATGGAAGTAAGAAAGACCAGACATAATCATGAATGATCCATTGTAACTAGTAACAGAGAACTATTATTAATTATCTGGTTAAATTTCAGGACTTCTAGCAACACACTAGACAGGAATAACTGAAATTCAGATTTTCTATTTGGAGCCTTTTTCAACTTTTATACTAGTAAAATTCCCCAGGCATGTAAATAGACTTCTAGTCCTTTGTCACCACGGTAAAAAAGTTCATACTTAATGATTGTAACTATCAGATTTAAAGAAGGATAACTTTAGAGTTACATTCAGGATTTTGTCTTTTTTTTTTTTTTATAAAGAACAACCCTGGCAGGAAGTCTGGGGATTATGTGCATCTTTGAGTCAATTTTTGGATCTTATTTGGGTTTATGCAACAAAGCTGAGTCATCTGGATCTCTGTCAGAACAGGGAGAGGCAAACGTGGCACACGTTAGAAAACAAGGACGAGTTGGTAGAATGTTCTGGCACACATCGTAGGCTTTAATGGATAAATAAATCAAACTGCCCGTCCTTTTATATAGTTATTATTAACACTTCATTTTGCTTAATTAAATTCTGCGTCCTTTTAGACTGACTGGATTCTAACCTGATATAAAGTGTAGCAGGCATCTTTCATTATCATACATACCAACACTACTGAGAGAACTGCTGCTTTCCGAGTCTGATGGCATGGTGGACAGGACGCTGTACGTGGAACCTGCCAGGATAGGAGAGCCATTCAGACGTACTGCATCAACAGATTTGTAAACCATTTAAACAAAAGCCTGAATTAACAGCCAGCACAGTGAGGAGGGAGTGTGAATACTACACAGTAAGTACTTTACTTAATGCAGAGTCATGTGATACACATGAAGTGGGGTTTCTATTTGATTTAACAACTTCATGCGTCTTCTCACTGGCTTTATATTAACACTGCACACCCTGCTTTCATTAAATCTTCTGTATCTTGGTGTGCCTTGCTTTGATCTACAGTTTATATGTTTTTGCTGCACAGGCACAATGTCACAGCTGAAATGGGAATGTCCCTTTTTTATGACATGGAGAATGCAAACATCCTTAAGCAGCAGCACAATAAAAGCAATATATATCATTGCACTCACAATTCCACTTTATGCATCATATCATTTTGATATTGGTATTTAAGATCCTGAATACAAAATATACATATGCAAAAGTGCTTTCGTTAATAAGTCTGTTTCTCAACATTAAGTCCAGCTTTATTTGGTTGATTAACAGGAGCCATCCACTCAAGTGCAATAGGTGGCAGATCCTTGGGTTTTCAGGCTCCTATCTTGTGGAAAAACCTGAAAGTTTTCATCTATGGGATAGACACCCTCTCTACTTTTATGACTAGGCTTAAAATGTTCCTTTTTAAAAAAGCTTAAAATTTGAGGGGCTCTGATTATCCTGAGCTATAGCTTTAGTTATGCCGCTATAGTCTTAGGCTGCTGGAGGACATGGGGAACAATTTTATTCACTCTTTTACAATCTACAACCATTTAGCATTTTTTTCTTAGTTCAACTTTCTACTTATATTCCCACCCTTCTACTTGTTACATGTTGTTATGTTACATCTACTTTTTTCATCTTAGCTGCTTCATCTGATCTGGTGCTCTGTTTAGGTGTGGCACTGTCCTGGATGGATGCATCAGCTTGGCTGCTTCTTACAATAACTTCCATTATAGATTATGAAGAGTTCAGCCTGTTTTTAAGTGTTAGGTTCATTTTCTCTCCTTGACATAGATATGGACTCAGCTTTTACTGTGGCTAATAGTATGTGCTCTCTTTCATCCTTTTTGACTGCTATAGTGCTCATCTGGTTAACTGTGAGTGGAGCTTGTTTACCATGACATCCTCAAGCATGGTTCCCTGCTTTGTCTTTTTTTCCACCCTTTCTTTTTGAAACCCTAGTCAGCCCTTGGCAGACAGATGTTCACACTGAGACTGGTTCTGCTGAAGGTTTTGTGCTGTTAAAAAGGAGTAAATACTCTCCACAGTAGCCACATGTATGGTCAATATGAGAGATTGCTGCCAAGTCAAGTGAATGTCTACTGTGCTACATGTTCACCCAGGAGGAGCATATCAAATAAATCAGCGTTTAGCAATCAGCTATGTTTCCTTACATGGAAAACTCTTGGCCAATCTGTTTGTAAACTGGTGCTATATAAATAGAACCAAATAAAAAAAAACAATGGCTGGATCATATTTAGTAAGGTTTTAGTATCTTTGCACAGTCTAACTATTGTAGTACTAGAGACTTTCTATGGAATTTTGGGACAGAAATCAAATGTCATTTGTCCATTTTCTCCATCTCCAGCCAGGTTAAATGACAATTTTCAAACTGTTATTAAAATCATCAGCAGATTAGCTCGGGATATCCAATTTTTAAAAAAAAAGGTACAGAAGTTGTATCTTATGTTTTGCCTTTAAATGAAAATAAGATAAAAGTTCAAATGAATGATCAGAAACAGATCTACACTGAGTGAGGAGAGAAGCCATGGGCACGTGGAAAGCAAGTCGTGAACGTGCAAAGGGGGAGCGTACACGATTGTATGACATAATGAGGTCTGGCGGTACTGAATCTGCACAGTCAAAAATGCACATGGACAGAAGTTTACGCTGCTGTGTTTTAAATAAAGCTGCTCACATGAGTATTCATTGAGCCTGTGCCCTTCTAGAAGAATTCTGACTTCATTTTTTCCATTTAGGTGGTTGGCTTTTTGAACTAACATCCCAATTTCTTTTGACTACACCAGAGGATTATACACCACATCATGCAGAGCCTGTAGTTTAGCACAGATAAGTGCAATATCCTCAAAATCCCACACCATACTGACACATGAAAATAAGGAAACAATTGTAAAGATATGGTTAAAAAATATATACTATGATCTAATTACACTTTTAAAGGGACGCATACAGCACAATTTTTAGAAATTGTGTCATCTTGTGAAAATGGTACATAACATGGCTATCTTGGCTCATAGGAGTTCCTAAAAGTAAAAATCATTCAAATCAACCCAGAGATCACTGAGGGTTAAGTCGATCCAAGTGAAGTTATGTGTAAAATTCAGGATGAAATTGAGACCCACAACCCTTCATTTCATCCTGCTGTTTTTACACAGGTCAACAGAGACTACTAAAGATTATTGAGCTTGAAATTAGCTTAGCTCTCACTAATAACCATATGCTTGTATTTAAACAAAACCAAAAACAAGACTTAAGAAAAGATGAAATGGTGGCCAGCATCATCGGTGACAAGCAAGCCACAGTTTGACAGCCACAGTTCTTGACTTCTACTTCTGCCCTTGCTTCCCACTGGCTTTAGCTACAGCTCTCCTGGGTGACGAGGCCAGGCCTAATTAACTATGAGCTCTGTTGACTGAGCCACTCCATCTTAAGGCCAGTAGACGGAGAGGAAGAGAGGAGAAAGACAGAAAAGGCACAGACAAGCAGAGGATGGATGAAAAGAGATAGCCTAAGTAAGTCCCAGAAAAGATAAGGAAGAATTGTATATTAGAAGGGGAAGCAAGAATGAGGAGGAGAGGAGCCGAGCATAAAGGCTTTTAATATGTTCTGACATTCCCGGTCTGACGCTCAACCCTTCTGCTCTGCAAAGTGCTTAAAGCACAGCTTTGATTGCATATTGTTCCACCAGACATGCGGGGAACTACTGCGGAGTTGCTCGGCAGTGATTCTCTACAATCAGCACATCTATGCAAAACGATGTTCCTTATCTTTTTGGTGGGATTTAATGGCAACATCTGACTTCTTGAACCCGGTGTGTGACTGACAATGTTGTGAGCCACTGAGAGGTCAGCTTAGCTGTAGGGTGAACCTTTTCATGATATCCTACAGACGCATTCAGTGAAGCTCTGATCCAAAAAAAACAAAACAAAAACAAGCGGTGTATTTGAGGGCAACCTAATGGCAAAGTTATGAGGACAAGGAAAGCGTGGGCTTAAACACGCTCAGAGAGATTCAACTCTCACTAGGCAATTGCATTTATCTCATTCCTTCAGTGCTTTTTTTTTTAAAGTATATTTTTCCTACTCTAATCTTTTAAAAAAAAAAAAAAACTATCACTAGAGATGCACTGATCAGGCTTTTGGGTTAAGCATAATTTCTATGTTTTTTTCTGAGGTCTTGCCTTCTGTTTTACAGTTGCTTGTGTTTTGTTTGTGTTTGTTGTTTATTCTATGGACTCTAACAGATAGGAGAAATGCATCCCCTGCAAAACAAACCGGGTTTTTAAAGTACTGGGGTGCTTTAAGTACAACAGCAACATATCTGTTGTTATGTCAACACAGGAGAACAAGGGTGATGATCGATGGGCATCTGAAGAGACGGCACCCATGGCCAGGATGATCTAAATGACACAATTAATAACCTGTGGTTTGTATTTCTTTGGAAACACTACTGAATAACATACAACAAATTTTTCATTATGTCAATATCATGGTGTGCAATATCAATATTGCAATGAGCTGCTTGGGGTGTACTAAATATTAGCAAGTTGTAATATACTTTCAGCCTCTCCATGTAAGTAATGTCTTTACTAGTTTCCTTTCTAATAAAAAAAAAAAAAAAGCTTTAGGATAATTGGAAAGCTTTGGTAAAATCATGAAAAAGCTACAATCCAAGTTATTTGAGTACCAGAATGGATACAGTAAAAAATATATATATCTATAATGTTGTTGTAATTGTTATAAAATGGTTTCATTTGATTTACTCTTTCATGCTAGAAGAAAAAATTTAGCGTTCAGTTTAATTCAAACTTAACGTGTTTAGTGCAAATCATTTGTTTTATTTTGTGGTGGAAGTTGATTCGAAAGCAATCTAAAATTGATTCTTTGAGAAAAACTATAATTTCTCCATCAATTGGCGGGAAGAAAATAAATCAGTAGATTAAACACAGCTAATAAAAGGCAAGTTGGATCCAAAACTCTCCCAAAAATGCATGAAAACAAAATCAGCACATTGTTGTATAATTTTGATTTATACATTCATAGAATGAAACCAGTAAGATTTTTTTGTTTTTATCTAATTAATGAAAAGGATCTCCTGATCACAGTGGAGAGCAGCTGTAGAGAATAGGGTCCAGTTCTGATCGCTTGCTGATCAATGAGTTCCTTTCTAAAAAAATATCATTGTTTAATGTTTTATTGTGTGATTAGAAAAGACAAACCACTCTCATAAATCCCAATAATCTCCACTACTAAATGCACTCACCAAACGAAATACAGCTCTTAACTCCTACGCACGTCTGGGACAACCTTAAGGATAAATATGCGCATCACGACGTTTACTAAACAATCTCAGATCATTCAGGACACTATGCAGAACAATAAATACAGTATGGATTTAATGTAAGACACACAGTGGCTCTCTGTGGCCATGGAGGAGTCAGTGGTGAGAGCCCTTTTTATCATTGATAGAAATGAGCAGGCTGATCATTGGTGAACATTCACCGGTATCAATAATATGAAGCTATAACAAGGGAGATCATATCTAACCCCACAAATGGAGGATGATACAGAGAGGACCAAACTAATTTAATTATTTGCTACTTAAAGCTCAGGATGCTTCAATAGGAGCTGTTACAAGTTATAACAGAAACCATCTAAGGTGAGAATACCTGAGGCAATGGTAGCAAGGGCTCTTTTATTGTGATCAAAATAGGTCAGAAGTGTGTTT